CGGAAAACTGAACTCCAGATGTAAAAAGTATTATTTGGTTAAATCTTCCTAAACACAACAGTTCTCATTAGAAGTGAAAAATTTTCATCTTCACACTCGGTTTCCAATAAAATCAATGTTACATGATACTTGGCCAGTTAAGTACAAAAGTATGTAATACACTGATGTCTGCTATTTAAGTTGTACTCAAATGGAAATCCCTTCTTCAAATTGTTAAAACATTAAAAAATTTACTTTTCTAATACTGCAACTGGTTTTGAGCTAACAGCATTACTATGGTGTATAAAACTGTCACTACTTACTATGATTTCACTAGAACTATACTCACCAACATGCAAAAGGTTATTTCCTTCATGCCAAATTACACTCATTCTAACAGCATATGGCCAGGTAATTACAAGGTACGAATTCAACTGTTAGATGAACTCATAGGCCTAATTCCCAAAGGAGATTCATATACTAGATTATAAAGAAATTCCTATTGTAAAAATTAGGCTATGCTAATTAATTAACCTTGTAGATTCCCTATTTTTTATTTTATTACTTTCAACTGATTTTTTGGAATTATTTTACTTTTAACTTAAAACCTTTACATGGATTCTTCTTTTTTTTTAATTTATCAAATCATAGTAAGCCATGATTTGTAAGGTCATGTGTTCAAATCACTAATAATTACTAAAATTTATTTATTTGATATTTACTCCACACTCAAATGTATGAGGATTGCTATATTTCAGGTAAAAAAGAACATGAATTTTAATATTAACTTGAATATAAGTACTGATACTAAAATTTTAATTCATTTATAATTACCACATACTATCAAAGGAAAGAGACAGAGGCAGAAATGAGGTAAATTAAAAAAGTACAAATTAATGTGATTTAGCTATATTAGAGCAGGACCAAGTTTGGGGCTCTAAAAAAAAAAAAAAAAAAGGAATGAAATCTTGGAACTATTTCTGACAAAATACCTCAAGAAGGAAAGTACACGTTAAAGTGGGAACAAAACAAGAATTCCCCATATTTGTTAGATCACAGTATTAAACCACTTGTAGGAAGATTATCACAGAACTAAACAGCTAAGAAAGGTATTTCTAGCAGTTAAGTGAAATCTCCCCGCAAAAAAAAAAAAAAACCTATTTCAGTATTTTCTAAAAAATAAGACAGTAATAAATACGTTATATTACATAATTGTTAAACTGTGTTAAGATGCCCACAACAGCACCTGACTGATTTCTGATCCTCTGAACAGGATCACCCTGCTTAAAAGACGGATTCTTCTAGCTCTGTGATGGACAGAACCAGTAGGCATGGCCTTAGCAGTGGCCAGCAGGGTAAGAAACAGTGAAGAATTCTGAGTGAGGCGTTGAACATCTGGATAAGTTATCTAGAGCAGCTGTGAGATTTCATTCTCCTAAATAACATAACTCTTATCTGCCTTAGACAGGTTTTGAACTAGTGCTATTCAAAATCTAAACTGGATAGCTCCTCAAAGTGCCTTCCAGACACTGGGACCATGAATTACAGTTATCCAATAGTAGTAACAACCAAACCACAACTTGTGCAAAGCAATACCTAGCAATACCTTAACTGGAGGATCCTGAAAAAGTGGCTTTCAAAGCAGTTTTGTGTGTTCTGTTAGAAATGTGGGTGTTTTGGGGGTTTTTTCCCCCTGTTAGAGATCTCAGTGTTTTATATCTGCATTCTCGCTTTTTCTGAACCAGAAGTTAACTGTTTTTGTTTTTGAAATTTTAATTTTTAAACGAAATCCTAATTACAGCATGCACCCAAATTACTAAACTGATTTACCTAACTAACTACATGACCTTGGGAAGTCACTTCTTGTAAAATGAGAGGCTTGCCTTGAGAGGCACTAGAATGTAACCTTCACGTCCACTACTCTTTTCCCACCCCCTCGGGGACATGGAAAGCACTGAATGTTTACTGCCTGTCCCCAAATGACTAATATAAATGGAGTCATTTTCTCTTTTTTAACATTTGTATTTTAATCTGTACATTCCCAAACGTTTTCAAGAGGACACTAAACCCAAAATTTCCTATGCATCAAAAATAACTTTACATAATTTAAAATCAGGTACTCATTTTTAAAGAAATAAAACAGGTAGATTATATCAGAGCTGACAAACTTCCCCTGGTTTGTTACATTCCCCTTTTCTTCCTGCCCATTAACCCACTGCTACATCCTGACCCTTCTTCAACTATATAGCTGGGAGAGAGAAAGTGCATGGGCCATGCAGGGAGAAGGCCTGGGTTCTAGTCCCATTTTTTCCATTAACTGGCTCTGTGGGGACAAGTCACTTCCCCTTTGGGCCCTGCCAGGCTGCCTGCTTAAACAAAGGAGCTGAACAAATTACTCATTTCTAAAGCCTTCCTCTTTAAAGATCTAATTCTTTCATTCCACCCATCATTCTACTCCTAAATGCCATGACTTAAATGCTTGCAATATCATTCCTTGATTTGTTCAGCAACCTCAAAATTGTCTTTTTCCCTCTTTATTTTTCCTTCTTATCCTAAAATGAATCTGATCCTAAAACCATGAGTACAGCAGAGTAAAAAGCACACTGTCCTTAAGCCTTAAAGTCAAAGAGCTCAGGTTCAAATCCAGACTGCCACCCATGAATCTTAGCTCTAAAGCAGTGATGTTATGAACAATTTCACTGAGGGTTCAAAGAATATATAAAGCACTTAACATACTGGAGATGCTCAACAACAATTAGCACCCTGTCCTATTTCCCAGAATCAAAAGCCTCCATTTCCCAATGTCTACAGCAAGGATGACCAACCACTGAGGTGCACAGGTGGCAGGCAGGAGATCTGTAACGTACAAGCAGAAATTGGTTAAACGTTCTCACTAGGCTCCTGCGTGCCAGTAAAGTGTCTGCCTGTAGCCTGCCCGTATGCTTCTGGGTAAACCAGCCTCAGCCACCAGCACCTTCTGGGCTCTCAAAAAATAAATAAATAAATAAAATAAAAATAAAAAAATAAAAATGATGCAGCCTCCCCAGGCCAAATCCACAGGTCAAGAGGAAATGAAAACTTGACGTAATTCTTCCAAAAAAAGAGATTCTCTGGATTTTACCTGAAAGCAAATTCTTCCGCCTGTCGTTCATGTGAAAAGAAGCCAGGCCCATTTCTTTGTGCTTAAATCTACAGGCAGTAGTTAATGTTGGGAGTACCACCAAGCATTATTTAATTTGATTTTTCAATTATCGGCAATGAAAAGGTGTGACCAAAGGAAAAAAGAATACAATTTTCTTGCAAAATGAGGATACACTGAATTTCACAGTTACATCAATACCTTCAGAGAAAGCAATGGTTTTCTTGATTTCAAAACTGGGTCAAAAGTGGAATGGGCAAGTAGAGGAGTGAAGGGGACTTGCAAAGAGAAGCTCAGTTCTTAAAGTGACTTAAGTATAGTTCCTTAATTATGTGGGATTGTTGTCCCAAATGAGAAATAACATCAACTGGTCAATGAAAGACCCAAGTTACAGGGTAACTCAGAGCAATCAAGAAAGTGTGTGGGAAGTCTGGGAACCTAAGAAATCTTGTGAAGAAACCGGTTTTTTTGACGTGCTACCTTCATTTCCAAGCTACTTCAGCCAAAGTGACTGCTGCAAAAGCACATTATTAAAAGGACAGAACACAATTTAGTAAAAATTCTTTCAGAAGGCTTAGCTTAAGAATTATCCAAACTCATATCTCTATTTAAAAATGCAAAGCCCACTAATCTGAGCTCTGAGCTCTTCTGCCATCAGGCCAAGCTGCTCTACTTGTCCACCCAAAATGCACTATCCAAGGAATCTGACCAAAATTCTTGACATGAGCTGCCATTTTTCTGCAAAGCAATTATGTCACAGGCCCTGGTGTTTTTGGTTGATCCTTTTTGAAATTGGTTAAAGTCGGTTTTCTTCCCCATGTTCTTTGCTCACATCCCAAAGAGGCCTTGTTTTCTCCACCCAGACTTGAGATCTGTGCTCAGAGCCATTTGCCTAGATGGCCCTTTCTCCTTAACAGATTCCTGCACTCCTCCCATTTCTCTCCCACCCTGTTCCCTGTCCCTCTGCACAGCACCCTCAGTATGATTGCAATCCCTTTACACCTCTAGTTTTCTCTCATTTCTGACCTTGCCTATGATCAGTACTCCCCCTACCTCGACCTGGTCCCAGCTTCATCCTCCAATGCCAGGCCTCCTCAGCGCCCTTCCCTGACCTGGCCTCAGACCTCTAACCTCCTGGGTCCAAACCCCACCTGGCCCTATTAACGTCAGTCCTCCCAAACCAGACCTTATTGCAGGTAACCCCCTCCCCCACCTTGTATCAATTACTGTCACCCTCTGTCCGGCCCAGTCCCTCTTCATTTTTAGACCCTGTTCAATCTCCTCTCTTTCTGGCCCTTGACTAAAACCCAAACCCCATTCCTAACCCCAGCAGTCCTCCCCTGACCCTAGCAAAGGCCACTACTCTGGCTAGCCCATCCCACTTCTTTCCTGACTCGGAAACTCGTGCCTCCCCCACTCCTTCACTGAAAGCCGGTGCTAGGAAACCGGCGACCTTAGCCTAGCCTTCTAGTACCCCATTTCTGACCCCTGATACACGCGTCCTCGCCACCACACACTCCAGGCTAACGCGTCACTTCTCGCCCATCCCGGTACTAGTCTTGGATCCTCCTTCCCATCCCCGATCTACCGGCCTTGCGGCGTGCTTAGCCCGAAGCCCACGAAACCCCTCACCACCCCCGCCGCGCAGCCCTGCCCCGCGTCCCTAACGCCCATTCAGCCCGTCCCCTAGGGGTCCCTCTCCCCACTTGACCCCGGCCTGGTGACCTCCGCCCCCGCCGCGTCCGGGGCTCCATTCTCTCGGCCTCCAAGCCAGCCCCCGCCCCACACGCCCTCCGCACTCCCAGCCCAGTGGGGTGTGTCCCCCTGCCCATCGAATTCCGGCCAGTGGCCTCTCCCGCGGGGTCACGGTCGCCCTCCTCACCTCGGCGTCCACCACCTCGTGGTAGGCGGGCGGGGGGTCGAAGCCGCCGCCGCCCCCGGTGCTCCCACCGCGGGAGGGGCCGCCGCCGCCGTCGCCGCTGCCGTCGCCCCGAGAGCCCCCGCCGGGCCCGGGGCTGGGGCCGCCGCCGCTGTCCATGGGCTCGTAGCCGCCGTAGTCGAGGCCCGGCCGCTCGTTGGTGAGCAGCGCCACGGCCTCATTGATGTCGTTCTTGGCCAGGCGCAGGGCCTTGCGGATGGTAGCGGGGTCCGAGAAGCCCATGCACAGCAGCGTGGTCATGTGCTGCTCCTCCTCCGATTCCATGGCGCGGGCCTCCGGGCCGCGCCGGCCGGCGGGCGGCGAAGCTGCGGCTCCCGGGCCTGGCGGACCGCGCGCGGCTCCCTCCGCGCCGCCCCCACGCCCGAGCGGGCCCCTGCGCTGCCGGCCTGCGCGCTCCGCAGCCGCCGGGCCAGGCTGGGCGCGGGCGTGAACGCCGCGAGCCGAGCGAGGGCGGTGGGGAGCTCAGGCGCGGCGGCGGCCCGGCCCAGCCCTGCGCGCCGCCATGTTGGCCTCCTCCTCCGCCTGCGCCTCCGCCTCCGCCTCCTCCGGCCCGCGGGGCCGCGCCTCCGCTCCCGGAAGCGGCCCGGGCTGCCCCAAGCTCGCCGAGGACGGGCGCGGGTGGGGGGTGGGGGGGAGGTGACTTTTTTTTTTTTTTTTTTCCACTTAGACAGCAAAGGGAGGGGCCGCGCCGCGGATCGCCTCTAGGGTGAAAGGGCTGCCCAGACGCCCGGGCGGAGGCGAGGGAGGGTCCTCGGCCGTCGCCACCGCCCGCCCATTTCTCCAGCAACAGGTTCCCCCGAGAGCGGGACGGGCGGGGGCGGACTCCGGCTAGCTGAGCGGAACATCCCCGAAGTCCCCAGGCCGTCGGTCCGGCCCAGCCCTGACAGCGGTTCCCCCCGCCTCGCACCCCGAAGCTGCTCAGAGGCCCCGCCGGACTTCCCTCCACGCCTGGCTCGCCCCCGCCCGCGCGAGACGCACCCCATCCCGGGTGGAATTCATTGGCCAGCGCGGCCTGAAACACGCCGCGGACCCGAAGGAAATTCACCCAAGCCCACGGAAATTCGCTCGCCGCGCTGCCTGAAATACACCCCAACGCCCACCTCAATCCCTGCCCACACCCGGCGCATGGACCCACCCGGACCGAAAATCACCCCTATGGATCCCGACCCAGATCCCTCCACGTGTCACGGAAGTCACCCCAACCCGGCTGAAATGGATTCCCAGCCCTCCCTGAATGTTCCGTCTGTTACTGGCCACCTGCGCCCACCAAACATGACCGAACTCTACCAAACTCTTAACACTGAAAAACCCTGGGCGTCTGAAACGTGTTTTTACAACTTACACTCTAAATCCCAGCGCTCTCTATGAAAACCTCTGAAAAACCCAGACTGCATCACACGCCAGCCACAGACGCATCAGGACGCCTTGGACCTCTGCTCCCCTCCTGGTGCTGACCCACCTACCCACACTGCCGCATCATCTCAGGATTCTGTTTCTGCCCTTTGAGCGAAAATCCTACCCACTCGACTTCTGCCCTTTACGGGAGGACCCCCACCACTCATTTCTACCTTTGAGCATTCCTCTTTCCCTTTGAGGCCTGCTTGCTTTGCTTTCTCTTTCCACCTTTAGCATTAACACCCGGGAGCTGCGTCCAGTTTCCTTGACTCTGCCATCCAAGCCCTGGCCCTTGCTATTTTCATCCTTGAATTTCCTTTCATTCATGCTTCTAGGTTCTTCCCCCACCATATCCCAAGATCCTAATGACTTTTTTCTTTTCTTTTCTTTTCTTTTCTTTTCTTTTCTTTTCTTTTCTTTTTTAATCTCACTACATATTTGTTAATTCAGTTCATCTCCTACTGCCTTCACCCTGGTTTCTTCCAGAACCCTGAAGTCCACAACTAACCTTTCTCATCCCATCCAACCCTTCCTTGTGGCAATCCAGCACTCACTAAAATCTCCCCTTATCCCAAATTTTAAATTAGTGTCAGTACCCAGAAATTTTTCCTCTATTAGCGTCTTTTCCCCTGGACCATAGAGCCTTCTTGCCTAGTACTTGCTACCTGTATTTGCAAACACCAGCAATTTGATTTACAGGGTGAATTTATTGCCCTTGTTTACATTTATTAAATTCATTACTGTTGTTTACGTTTAAATGAAATAAGTGTATTTGTTATACTGATTAAAAGCTGAATTATAGAACAAAGAATAGGCCTTATTCCCAAAGGAAGTAACGTCTCTTAATTTGTGAATGAAAATAACAAATCAAATCCTTTTTACATTACACCAGGATCTTTATTTTTGAACAATAACGAAAGAACCTGCTAAGGAAGAATGCCTATAACTGAATCAGGTTCCTCTGTGTGTGTGTGTGTGTGTGTGTGTGTGTATAATTTTACTAGGTGTTATTAAATTCTAAGTACTCAATGATGTTCAAATATTCATTTCTGGTACATGAGGACCAAAAGTAATGTAAATGGAGCCAAGCAGCCTATCATAGAGTACACGCCAAAATATTTCATTAATTCAACAAATACATGCTAGTTATCAGGTGCCAGGTACTGTTCTTGGCACGTATGTGACAACATGAAACAAAGCAGACGTTTGCTGGTGGCAAGTGAAGGCATTCAATTTTGCCCTGTGTTTGAAGAGTTAATTCAGTGACGAAATTAAGGAATGGGTAAAAAGGGGAGAGAAAGTAACAGGTAAAGAAAGAATTGTTTGCCACTGAGATTTGAGACAGAACCCAAGAAGTAATGAGACAGAGCCGGCCAATTCAGATGGCACATAAAAAGACTCATCAACAGTGGCAGGTTTATAGAACATGACAGAGGAAGCTGTGCCGAGCTGAGAAGAGGAAGCAGAGAAGGAAGCAGAGAAAAACAAAGTCTGTGATAAAAACTGGAAAGGAGCCACAGAAGGCTACAGAAAACAAGGAAGGCCATTTTTGAACCGGATCCTGGAGTGACTGAAAAGCCGGAGTGTCATTTGAGGATGCAAGTAGTTATAATCACACTTTTTTGCATGTGAGAAAGCAAGTGAGGGCTTTAAACCCTGTTGAATTGGGATAGCAGGGGAGGGGCCTGTGGTGTGAATATTCATACTTGCACTTACATTTTTATTTTAATTGCAGAAAAATCTTGAAAATGTTAAAAGGACTAAAAAATTTTAAATGACATTCAATTCACAGTAGTCCTTGCCTAGAAGCTTCTAGGAGAGAAAAAAAAATAGCTAGGGTTTGAAGAGAGGTAAGATGAACTATCTTGAAGACAAAATATGAGGGCTTTCTAATATTAATAAGTAATCTAAAAAATATCTAGTGAATGTCTGTTTTGAACCAGGTTGAGGACTAGAGAGACATCTATGAGCAAGACACACGCACAGTTCCTGCCCTTTTAGGACTCACTATCTTTAAAAGGAGACAGACAATAAAGTAGTAATCATAAAATGTGATAGATGCTTTGATAGGGAATTTCAGGATGTAAGGGGCAAATTTCTTGCCTTCTAAGGAGGAAAATTACCAAGTATAGGAAACCTAAATCCCAGAGGATATTTAAACTATAACCTGAAAGGAGGCACCTGGGTGGCTCAGTGGGTTAAAGCCTCCGCCTTCTGCTCAGGTCAGGATCCCAGGGTGCTGGGATCAAGCCGCATTGGGCTTTCTGCTCAGCAGGGAGCCTGCTTCCCTTCCTTTCTCTCTGCCTGCCTCTTTCCCTAATTGTGATCTCTGTCTGTCAAATAAATAAAATCTTTACCAAAAAAAACCCGCTTAAACTATAACCTGAAAGGAAGTAGGAAAGGCAGGAAAATGAATACGAGATGAAGAGATCCAAAGAATAGGACAAGGTGTGCAAAGGCCCTAGAGTGAGTGAGAGAAAAGCAACTGAGAAGAATTAAAAGCCAGCAGAATATGGCTGGGGTTCTTAGAGAGTAGTAGTGAGAAGGGAAGCTGGAAATGTAGGCAAGCATCAGATCTGAGAGGGTTCCTTAAACTGTAGTAAGAGCTTGCACTTTATTCTGAGGGAATGGGAAGCCACTGAAATATTTATGTGGAGGAGAAAGGGATTGTTATTTAACTTTTAGGAAGAGTGGAGTGTGGAAGATGGTCTAAGGGGGAGGAAAGGTAAAGGTGGAGGATTTAATTGACCAGTTATTCTCTTGGTTGCCAATTAATCAGCAAACCCATCAAAGGGAAAAGCAATGCTGAATGACAGGCTCACCTCTCTGTACTTCCTTTCTCTCTGGGATTTGGTCCTTGAAATTCTCACGTGGAATTTTTTTTTTTTTTTTTTTTTTAAGTAGTCTCCAAGGCCAGTCTGGAGCCCATTGTGGGACTCAAACTCCTGACCCTGAGGTCAAGACCTGACACAAGATTAAGAGACAGGTGTTTAACCAACTGAGTGCCCCAGGCAACCCTCTTAGGAAACTTTCAGTGCCTTCAACAGAAATTCTTTTCTTGCCTGGTTTGTCAAGGTGTTCTCAGAAAGAGGGATGGTCTTTTTTTTTTTTTTTAAAGATTTTATTGATTTATTTGACACACAGAGAGATATCACACGTAGGCAGAGAGGCAGGCAGAGAGAGGGGAGAAGCAGGCTCCCAACTGAGCAGAGAGCCCAATGCAGCACTGGATCCCAGGATCCTGAGATCATGACCTGAGCCAAAGGCAGAGGCTTAACCCACTGAGCCACCCAGGCACCCCAGGGATGGTCTTAAATAAGCAAGTCTGTCATAGTTAGAAGCAGAACTCCCGTAGAAGAGAGAAGATGAGAAAGTTCCTTCGAGGCAATCGGTAAAAGGAACAGACAGACCCTGTAAATGGGAGATTTTCCAAGACTAGGAAGAGATTAGTATTTTGGATATTCTGTGAGGTGGAAGAGCCTTGCCCCGCTAGCTTGTAGTACCCCAAGAAGTAGAAAGAGCTCAAAAATAAATGACTGCCTGAGTCCCAGATTTGCAAAATCTCTACAAAATTCCCCAGTTTCTAGCAGGGCAGGGAAGCAACAGAATCACCTTTCTCCAAAGGAGCTTAGCCTGTGCAGGCTTAGACTGTGATCCCTTCCGTGTTAACTAGTATAGACCAGGAACCAGTGGACTCTTCTGGAAGCTGTAGATGCACAAACCTGGGCAATTTGCATAATCCCCCCTGTAACTGGAGAGGGAACCCTCGTTATGACTGTAATTCAACATTTCAATACTTTGGCAGGTGGGGGTTCAAGTGAATTTTAATTTGTATCTGAAAAAATAAAATCACATTTAATGTTCCAGATTTTGATGGATGCAAATTTATATCCATTGTGTATGTTAAAAAACTAATAAATACAGCCACTAGAAAAATTGGCATCAATGGCTATACCTTGAATACTCTACTTGAGCATTGATTTTTTTTTTTTTTTTGGTAACAGTTTAACTGAGAGATAATTCACATAACATATATTTCACCCATTTAAAGTGTATGAGCTAATGCTTTTCGTATATTCATAGATATGTGCCACTATTGCCACAGTGAATTTTAGAA